TATATACCCCTTATATAGCCAGGTGGTCTTCATATTCACCCCAATAACCTACAAGGGTGCCTTTTAAGGGTCCCTCCTAAAGCCCTAAAATGTTAGGGCTTATATAAGGTGTTGCGTATTTCGGGGCTGGCTTGAGGTCTTGAAGATTGAGACTACCCGGTCTGCGCAAAGAAAGACGGATGCCACTGGGAGAAGCCAGGTGCGGCCCTAAACCCTACCCTAAACACTGAACCCCTAGACCCTAAACCCCTAAACCCTAAACCCTGAACCCCTAAACCCTGAACCCTTAAACCCTAAACCCTAAGAGACTATTGGTGAAAGGGAATTCCTGTAGACCTGAAGTCATCAACTCGGCCCGACGGCTCGAGTTGAGAGCCGATAGTACGAAACCCTGGGTTTAGGGTTTAGGGTTTAGGGTTTACCCAATACCTTAAGACTTTCTTGTTTAGCTTAAGGTTTATGACCCTAAACCCTAAACTCTAAACCGTAAACCCTAAACCCTAAACCCTAGACCCTAAACCCTAAACCCTAAACTCTAAACCCTAAACTAAACCCTAGGAAAACCCTTAGGGTCAGAGGCCCAATACCTTTAAATCCTTGATACCACCACGTACTTAGAGGAAGCTACAGGTGGGGAAACCCTAAAACTGGGTTTAGGGTTTAGGGGTTTAGGGGTTTAGGGTTTAGGGTTTAGGGTTTAGGGGTTTAGGGGTTTCGGATTTAGGGTCTAGGGTTTAGGGGTTTAGGGGTTAAGGGTTTAGGGTTTGGGGTTTAGTTAAAGGAAACTACAGGTGGGGAGTCTGGGGGATACAGGGCTTCTATAAGGCTTCCATAAGGTATATACACCTTCTATAAGGCTCCCTACAACGGTAACTACCCACCTGAAAATGTCCCAGACTGAACCCAGAGTGACAGTATAGACTTTTATTTTTTAATGGTTCCCTTAAGGAACAGGTCCCCCCAAAAAAGTATTCAAGTATGGTACTCCAGAACGCTGACTTCGTACTGCTAAACCAGCCATCATGGCAAAACGAAGAACACTGTATCCGACACTCTGCACACGTGAACCCTGAATGCAGGAACCTAAACCTCTGATGGAAACCTAAGGTAGGGGCCTTAATAATGAGAATAAGCTTTTGGGGTTCCTTTAAAGGGTTCCTTAAAGGGTCTATACGGGCTACTACACGGGTTTAGTTTAGGGGCCTTAATAATGAGAATAAGGGTTTTGGGGGTCCTTGATAGTATAATTACAGGAAGGAGCCCCAAAAATAGTGTAGGTAAGTCTTAAGGCCCCTATATTACCCTTCAACTACTGAAAGGCTGTGACCGCAACCCCAATTTCAGAACCTACCTTAAGACCCAGACTTCAACTACGGCAAGCCGTGACCGCAACCCCAATTTCAGAACCTAAGACCCAGACCCAGACTCTCGTCTTCGATAATTAGCCAAGTCCCTACCCATAGGCCCCATAGTAGTTCCTTTTTGGGGTTACCATTATAGGATTCTATATATGAACCCCCCAAAAAGGAACTATTCTAGGGCCTATGGGTAAGCAGTTCGAAGTTTCAAATGTAGACAGAATGCAGAAGCTGAGCAGTTCTGAGCTTCTCCCCGTCTGAGTGAGCAATCAAAACCTTCAGGCAGCTGTCACTACGACACGCACCGCTGGTGCACTTGCTGAGGTCCATCCTCATCGTACTCATCGCCTCAGCCGAATTTAGAAGCTTCCGCATGAACCCGTAACCCTAAACCCGAAACCTTAAATCCTAAACCATTTCTGGGTGAGCATGAACATTTGACCTGCCCCAGCCTCCTAACCCTAAATTCTATCAACCTTACAAACTCCAAATGGCTAAGGTCCAAGTACCTCAGAATGACATGCGTCTGCAAGTAGCATGATCCGAAGCCCAAGCAAACAATTAGTTCGTATCTCGTACTCTTATAAGCCCACACATAATCGCCATAACACCATTATCGAACCCTAGCACTCTCTGTAAACATGTCCTTTAAATCTCTGTAGCATCCGATTCAAGTTTGCAAAAAACACTACGCGAAAACACCGAATCGTGTGGCCTCTGGGCCGGCGGAAAGCTTTGACAACGTCTATCGGTCTTATCCAAGTTGATACAGGGCCTTGAAGAAGCAGAACGAGGTTTAGACGGAAAAGCTAGTATGTATGCACGTCTACGTCTGAACGACACGGGCTTACCAATTACTCAGACAACCAGTTTGGTAGTTCTCCAAATTGAGGTCCCTATTGCGGTCCCAAATTTCCCATGTAGAAGTGACCCTAAAACCGTAAACTCTAATGCAAGGGAACCTAAAAGGAACCCTAACTACAGAACCACACATCTTGCGAGGTGATTGAACTAATCCCTAAATCATCTGGGGCGGCTTGTTGGAAGCAAGGGCTGATTTGCAACTCCAGGTTTGTTTGCTTTGAGGTTTAGGTCTTTGTTTGGGTTTAGGGTTTAGGGTCTACCGTACACTACTCTATTCTCATGACTAAAGCCTAATTGTGAAATTTATAGGGGCCCTGTAAAAACTATGCTTTTGTAGTTGAAAGTAGGTGTGTGTGTGTGTGAGTGTGTGTGTGTTTGCTCGGTTCAATTTGCATCCAAAGGACTTGTAAAGATTCATCCACTCGAAACCCTTGTTCCAGCAGGCCTTCTTTTAAGGGACAATAGGAGGGACCCCTGGAAGGGATCCATACAGCCCCTATATAACCCCAAGGGTCCCTTTAAGGGTTCCTCCTTTAGCCCCTTGATTCTTGCAAAACATCTTGGGACTAAAGGGTTCGGGATCAGGATCAGGTATTCAAGTTAATGTAGGGGCCTTAGCAATTAGAATGGGG